CAAATAATATAACTGCTAATGGTTTTAATGCCATTCTCAAAGGATGTAGGAGGTTGTTAAGTGCTGAAGATCAAGAAAAAATTCCTACAAACTTTTATGAAGTAAAAAATATATGAAAGAGCTTGGGTTAGGTTATCTAAAAATTAATGCTTATGTTAACAACTGCTTTTTATACTATGGGGAGCATACGAAAACATTGACTACATGTCCAATTTGTGGAGAAGCGAGGTATAAACAAAGAAATCCAGGGAGGAATAGACAAAAGGACATTCCAAGAAATTGTCTTTAGTACTTGCAATAATACTTCGCCTTTAGAGGCTATACATGTCTCGAAAAATAGCTGAGCACATGACATGGCATTTGAAATGTTGTGGTGATACGGATGAGGTCATTCATCTAGTACAATCAGCATGGAGACATTTTGATCAAATGCATCCTTCTTTTTAAAAGAGAACCTCGTAATGTTCGATTAGGTCTTGCTACTGATGGTTTCAACCCATGGGCTCATTCTTCAACCTCCTACTCTTGTTGGCCAGTTTTTTTGATTGTTTATAATTTGCCACCAAAGATGTGCATGCGACCAGAGTTTACTTTTCTTACATTGGTCATTGCAGGTCCAAAAAGCCCAAGTAAAAATATCGATGTTTTCCTTCGACCTTTAATTGAAGACTTGAAAATGTTATGGTCAACTGGTGTAGAAACATATGATAGTTATCGTAAGCAAAACTTCATAATGCGGGCTATGTTGATGTGGACCATAACTGATTTTTCGGGTTATGGTATGGTGGCTGGTTGGAGCACTCATGGCCAATTGTCATGTCCTTACTGTATGGAGATGACACAATCTTTTTATCTTCAAAATGGTCGGAAACCATGTTTTTTTGATTGTCATCGTCAGCTTTTACTGGAATCACATGCTTTTAGATTTGATCAAAATAATTTCTTAAAAGGTTAGGTTGAATTAGGTAGTCCCCCTCCTCGATTGGATGGTGTTTCAATTCGTCACCGAGTTGAAAACCTTCCTGATGTGTTGTTTGGGAAACCCTTTGAAAACCAAACAATTGAGGGTTTTGGAAACATCCATAATTGGGTGAAAATGTGCATTTTTTGGGAACTTCCTTATTGGCATGATAATCTTATTCGACATAATCTTGATGTAATGCACTGTGAGAAAAATTTATTTAATAATAAAATACACACTGTTATGAATGACAATAAAACAAAAGACAATGGGAAAGCAAGATTGGATTTAGCCATTTATTGTGACTGAAGAAAACTGCACATTGGATATAATACGCATGGTAAGCTTGTGAAACCTAATGCTAGTTATGCACTAACATCTGAAAAACAAAATCTCCTATGTGCATGGCTAAAACAATTGCGCTTTCTAGATGGGTTTTCTTCCAACATATCAAGATGTGTCAACTTGAATGAGTCTAGGTTATTTGGGATGAAAAGTCATGATTGTCATGTTTTCATGCAACAACTAATTCCAATTACTTTTCGCGGTTTATTGCCATCTGCTATTTGAGGTCCTTTGACCGACATTAGTAACTTCTTTCGTTCACTTTGTTCCCCGATTATTAAAGTTACTGAGATGTAGAAGTGGGAGGTAAAGATTGTTGAAATAATTTGTAAGTTAGAAATAATATTCCCCCCAGCATTCTTTGATTCTATGAAACATCTAACAATTCATCTTCTATATGAGGCCAGAGTTGGTGGTCCTGTTCAATTTCGTTGGATGTACCAATTTGAAAGGTAAAACATACAAAGAAATTGATAATTTTAAAACTTACTTTTGATTACTTTTCTTTAAATCAATCTTATCAATATTTCTTTTCAGGCATATACGCAAACTTAAGAGTACCATAGGGAATAAAAATCATGTCGAGGTATCAATTGTTGAGGCATTTATATTATACGAGATATCCCATTTCTGCTCTCGTTATTTTGGGGATGATGTTGAGACAAGCTGGAATCAGCCTCTAAGGAACTATGGTGGCATTGGAACCAACGTCCTAGGTAAGTTATCCGTATTTTGTTCCCCTGGTGAATCAATAGGTGCCAACTCACATACACAATGTTTAACATTGGAGGAGAAAGATGCAGCTAAACTATATGTCTTGCTAAATTGCAAGGAGGTTGATGTTTGGGTAACGTAAGTTTTACTTCTTAAGAAAATAAGAACTACACGATGTTTAATAGCCTATATGATTTTCATAACGTTTTAATAAATAAATAAATGTTATTTTATAGTAAATTTGAAGAAGAAGTTGGTGCAAATTTATCACATGAACAACTACAAAGATTGCGAACAAATAATTTTGTTCAATGGTTTAAAAATAT